AACTTTTTATAGCAGTAATCACAGACACGGCGTTTCCTCGAGTCCCTCACAAGCTGTAAAGGAGAAGAAGCCTACATGCTGCACAAGAAAGAACTTTAGAGACAAGAACACACGACCTAGCTGGGAGACACGGCCCTTGGCGCTTGCCTTGGAAGCCCAGGACACTAGGAACCGTTTCCCCCACTCACCCCCTTCTCTGTTCATCCCCTTCTCTCAGGAAGAATTAAGTTCCCAGGTGCCTTCAAGAAGGGGTTGAGAGGACACATGAGGCCTTTCTACACCACCTCTCTGAGATAATCACAAAGCCTTGACTATTGCCTTTACCAAATCCGGAGAGGAGCAGTTAGCACACTAATTTCATTTACTTGGTGAGCTCCTGCGCTCCAAGGCAGAAAGGAGGAGACCAGGCCACACCACCCTCAAGGGAAGCCTAGGTTGGTGGAGCTGGGGAACAACAGGACACACCCCAAACAGGAAAAGATAATTGAGTAAACACCCTTTCCCCAGGTCTAGCAGGAGAGGAGAGGCTAGGTTAAAGGGGCGGGGCTAGTCCCACCTGCTTCCTGTGAGTCCAGCTGAGAAAGGGGTCAAGGGAGAAGGCAGGGAAGTTTTACCAGCAAGGGAACAGGCCCTGACCAAAAGTTGAGGCAAGTTGGGGGCTGGGGCTATAGCAAGCGCAAGGTGTTTTTGGAGATTAGGGTCTCAAGACAGTTGGCATCCTGGTAGAAGAGAGGCAGGGGCAATCCAGAGAATGCTGAGGAGACTGACCAGAGAAGCAGCCGGGTGAATGGCTGGGTGGTGACCACAGCAACCCAGTCATGAACTGAGTTGATTTTCTGGGGGAGGGGGTATAAAGGCACGGCAACTCATCTGCGTCCACCCTGCCCTGTTGGTAAGGCTGCTAGGGGCTAAAAGCTGTGTGAAGAACCCTCAGGAGGAATGGGCCACCTGGGAGACGCTGTCATGCTCAGGGCTACAGTGGGTACCCCAGAGGGCAGCATCTGTGGGTCTAAGTGACGGGAAGACACACCCTGGTCCGGGGAGGCACCAGAGGATTCTGGAAGCTGGTCCAGGCCCCTGCCTAGCTTGTGTTTCAAGTGCTTCCTGTAATTATGAGTATCTCTGTCACTAACGAGGACTCTTGTCGGTATCAGTGGACTGCAGGCCCCACAGGCTAGGTCCCGTCCTCCTACTGAGCTACTGGCTGTTCACAGAATTCCTTGCCCCTTCCCTACAGTTGGCAAACTGTCTCTAAATTCAATCCCAAAACATCTCCTTCCCCGTGGCCCCTCCAACCACTTCAGCCTTCATCCCAACCCCAATATGGTTAGATCTAGGCTTCCAGGCCTGCTCTTTGGTGGAAGATGAGATTACACACTAGATACAGAGGACTCAGTCACTTGCTGGGTTCCTACTATGTAGCTCTGTGTGTGTGTGCGTGTGTGTGTGTGTGTGTGTGTGTGCGCGCGCACATGTGCATGCTATGCACATCAGATAACTTTCTCCGTGTCCCATTTCACAGATGAAGAAACTGACACTTTGGAAGCCTGCTCAGTAGCTATATATCTAGTTCTGTCTGACTCTAAAAGCACAGGCTCCTTCTGCATAGGTGAACAAGACAAACTTGTTATCTATTGTAATAAAGACAAACCTTTATTACAACTGTTCTTTTCCTCTTCTTTATCCCCTACCCCCTCCCCAAATCCACCAACACTGTACTGGGCCTTAATGAAAATAAGTTCAGTAATTTGACCCCAGTCCTTGTCTGCTTAGCTCCTTGCCATTGTCCAGCACCTCTGTCCCTTCCAAAAGCAGTGCTAAGGGCAATGACCACAGGGGCCAGCAGTCCATCTTATCTACTCTCCACCAGTGAGCACAGTGATCAAATCCAAAGCTCTCCAGATTTCCCAAAGTTGCCGTTTCACCTGCCCTTCAGCGCACTCTAACTAAGAACAGAGAGATACTGATAAAGACTTTTATATAAAATCAGGTTCTGGGACAGATTTGACCCTGGAGCTATACCTGCCAATCTGTGATTTAGGTCACATTACCTGAAATACACTGTAATTCCTTTCTGTTTGGCCTCTACAACTTTACATAAACAGAGACTGTTGTGCAAAAAACTAATTTAACGAATAAGAACAAGGAACTGAGTGGAATTGGTCTTGTTTTCTCATACCAGAAAAAGATAAAATTATTGTTTCTGATGGGAAAAACACATAGAGCAGAATTTCCCAGGCTCCCACTAAATCAGGGGACCAAGACAGGAGGAAGGTCCTAGGAAGCTTCGAAGACAGAGAGTGAGTTTGGCTGGACCTAGACTTGACCTAGGGTAGTAAAAATGCAGTGGTCAGCCTGTGTGGCCATGGTTACCCCAGAGGGATAAGTAGGTGAGTCATAGGATCCCTCCTACCCGCAGACTTGGGAACTGACGCTATGCCCCTCTAAGAGCTGGGGAGGGAAATCAGAGGGGCTGAGTAAATGAAGGCTCAGAGGCATGTCTAGCAGAGATGTCCTACCATCAGGTACAGTGGGAGGCAAAACTCAAGAAAATCTTGTGGATGCCGAATTGAGTTTCTGACTGCTATCAAGAGAAGGGTGCGTGTTACCAAGGGAGATGCTGATTATCTGCATAATTCTTCAGTGGCCCAAAGAACTAGAGTTCAGTCCTGGCAGGGTTAGGAAGAGGTGCAAAAGACAGAACTGGAAAGAGGAATAAAATAGGTGACTTTGCGCTATTCGAGTCTCTGGAGAAACAGCAGCGAATCTGCTCCATCTTTAAGATTTTTCTTGGAAGTAGCATCTAGGCCTAGCCTGCTGCTTGTCTGACATTGCAGTTTGGATGAATGATCAAAATCCTGGGTGTTAGGGACTTGATTTTAGTCTGCCAGGACTGGGGGAAGGTGAAGTGAGTAGAAGGAAGTTAAGACATTCTGGGAATGCCCAGCTCCTCCTCAAGCTTTTTCTCTCTGCTTTCCAGCTCGAAGAAATGAACCTCTCCCTCTAGTGTGCTTTCACAACTATGTGCTGCCTCATCAAAGGCCTACAGGCGAGGAAGCCAAGCAACCATGAACAGAAATCTTCAAAACTGTGCGTCAAAGTCAGCTTTTCTTCTTTCAGAATTCATTATCTCAGGAATCTGTCACAATGAATAAAAGCTTGCTAGCAAGAACGGTGATGTGGCCCACCTAAATCTGGTGACCCAGCTACAGATCAAAGCTTCCGTGACCCCTGCTCCAGTCCAGCTCACCCCCAAATCCATTGTTCAGTGCGTATCACCACCACACGTGTCCTCTTCCTACACCAGACAGGTTACAAGCAGAAGAAAGGAGGAAGAAAGACCCTAGATGTTCTTGTAGCAAAATCAATTGTTGGAAAAGTAAGCTTCCCTCACTGTCCACCTCCCTCACGTCCCAGCTGACTCACCCTAACAGAAATGCTGTTTTTGCCAGAGCCTCCCAATTGCCACTGCTCAAATGAATGCTGAGTCTGAGCATGGCTCCCCCTCTCTCAGAACAGGGATAAGAATGTCCCTCAACACAACCAGTAAGCCACATGGCTGCCTCAGCCCCTCAGCCCCTTGCAGCAGGCTGGGCTGGCAGTTCCTCAGAGTGGGAACACCTCTTCCTCATGTCAGCTCCATCAGTCACCTGCCTTAGGGCCAAAGTGTGCCTGGCACAGCGCCCTGCTGAAAAGCTAACTCTATCTATGAATAAATCATCTGGAAGGCACTCGTAAACATGACCAAATGATTGCTGGCTTCTGGAGCTCTCTACTCCCTCCCTACTTAACTCTCTTCCCCTTCATCTCTATATACCCCCAATGCCCAGCCCCCCAGTTCCCACTGTCCTAGCATTCATCCTCTCTCATCTGTCTTGCCAATACCTTCAGGACAGAATGGACAACGCCACCACCCTTTGACAGACCCCAAGCCATCTCAGTAGTTCCCAGGTAATTTACTACCAAGCAGGATACTCTAAGCCTTATGCGTATCTACTTTATGTCGCCCAAAGACAGGAGAAGGACGATTAGGAATGACCAATTTCTTTTGAAGAGAGGAGAAACAAAAGAAGAATCTAGGCTCTTAACTAGCAGGTAGCTAGGGAAAGGCAAGCAAAACTAGATCCTTAACCCACTAACACCAGATAGGTATCCTGTGTGGAATACAACCGTGTGGTCCACAGAGGCAGCGGAGTTGACATAAGATGCTCTTGGACCAAAGAATAAAAGGTACACACAGTCAATAGACATTTCCTAAGAGATCTTCACAACCAAAGGCTCATGTTTAGGGAGGCCGTGAGCTCCCATTGAAGGTAGGTAAGAAAGGGGTTGGGATAGCCTTCATCAGGAATGCAATAGAAGGAATTCAGTTATCAGAGAACAGCCTGGTATCCTGGAGTCAAATATTCCCAGATCAAATCCTGAATTGTTGTTGCCTAGGTTGAAAGGCTTAATTCCCTGAACCTCAGTTCCTTTTGTGTATAATGGGAATGATGCACGGCCTCACAGAACCAAAGTTAAGAGGTAAGTAAAATAAAACACTTGAAAGCACCTGGCACTTCTTGGGTGTCTAATAAACTTAACCTTCCCATCAAAGACAGGGCTGGGCTAGACATCCTCAGATCTTCCTATTCCAGAGTCTGAATGAGTTTAGATCCCTTCCTGGCTGCTGGAAAGGAAGGCTTACACCTGGGAAAGATAAGGAAGTTCAGGTTAAGTAGCTGGGTGGAGAAAAGAGGATGCTGAGAACATGTAGAGATCACCTCTAACATCCATCACCCTCGCTCATTTGTTTCCTCTTCTAGAATAAAGGGGGAAACAAGTTTCCCATGTGTACTGTGAAGGAATAGGACTTGATGTCCCCTTCCTACTGTGGCTTCCGCTGTAGGAAGGGGAAGCAGAGGATTCAGACAGGAGGCAAGGCAGTAAGGAACAACTTGTCAGGGTTCCCAACCCCACTCCCAGCCCTCCGTGGAACGTAGGACAGCCACTTCGGTGTGGTCTTTAAGCTTCTTTATTGTGCTAATACTGTTGCCTCGGAGCTCAGAACTCACACACAAAACAGTTCAGTCCTGACCCCCACCTTCCCAGGGCTGGGGGCCCTCTGCCTTGGCTGGGGACACCTGGCTTGTTGTACCTCTGCGGTTCTGGGATACCGACTGCTTCCCTCCCTTCCTCTCCCTGGAGCCCAGGGATGAGGGAGGGTTCTGAACTGTCTTTCTCCGTCCTCCGCCCCCTCCTACTTCAGAGCCACAGGAGGCTCTGTCTCCCTAGCATCTCTGAGGGAAATTCCCCTGAACTCTCTGCCGCCAGGCGGCCGGTGAGAGCCAGGTCTGTGCCCGCCCGAGCCTGTCCCCAGCTGCGGGCGGAGAGCCCCGAACCGCCTCCCAGCCGGGGCGCAGCCCGGTGCTGCGCGCTCACACTAAGAGGCCGTCCTTGCACGACCGCTGCTCGACCTGGGCACAGTCGGCGCAATCGGCCGACTCCGCGCTCTTGACCTTGATGTAGACGGGGGAAGGGCCCGCTTCGCAGGCTGAGGAGGCAGCGCGGGGCACTAGGGCCACGTCGTCGGGGCCGCCGCAGGGCGGAGGCGCGTACTTGCGGCGCAGGGAGCGGCTGACGTTCTGCGTCGGGTACCCCAGGAGGTGGGTGACGCGGCTGCCGCGCCCGCTGGCCTTGCACCCGGGCGCCTCGGCGTCCACTCTGGAAAACAACAGGCGGGCGCGTGAGCTGGCTCCTCCACGGCGCGGCGTTGGCACGGCCTGGGCAGAGCTGGGGGCTCTTGGCAACCTCTCATCTCCCGCGCCCCCCTCCACCTGCCCCTCATCTCGCTCTCTCTCTCTACTTCTCTCTCTCTCTCTCTCTCTCTCTCTCTCTCTCTCTCTCTCTCTCTGCCTCACCCTACTCTCCCTCTCTGTACATTCCTGGGCGGGCGACCCTGCAGCGCCCCCATGCCACTCTCCCCATCCTTTAGACCCCGCTTGTGTCCCAGCAGCTCAGGACGCCTCAAACAGGCGCCCTCGGTCCCCTTTCTAGTGTTTGGCTGAAAGGGAGCCTTAATGATCCGGGAGTTGTGTCTCTCCTTTCCTTGACTAACAACCCTCACCTTGCGCTCTGGCAAGTTCTCATCGCCTCCTGTCCCTCGCTCTTCTTTCCCTCCGTCACCAAGGCGTTGCAATCATTAGCACTGCTATTCTTGTTCTATGTTTATTTCTACTTTGCTTCTAATGTAAGTTATTGGCACTACTGATGTTAACTCTTCTTAAATAGGCATGTTGAGGGTTTTGCCGGCGCAATACAAGGGAACGGTGAAAAGACATGGTCCCTGCCCTCCAGGAGCTTACAGTCTAGGCCAGACAGACCGAGGGATGCATAGACGACAGGAAGAAAAGGGAAGGCAGGGAGCAAGAGGTGAAGACTGGAAGCGGGAAGGGGAAAGACAGAAAAGCCATGCGGCGAGTGGGCAGGTCGACATGCTGCAGTCCCAGCACTCCATGGCGATGGCGGGCAGGTTTGGGGTAGGAGTCCCAGCCGGCCGATGGCAGACAGGGGTGAAGAGGACAGGGCGCCGGTCCCCCGCCGTGCAGCAGCATGCAGCATGCATCAGGTTTTACCTGATCTCACTAGCCAAGTCGCCGCCGCAGGCCCCTCCGCCGACCCCGTAGCCGAAGGCGCCGCGGGCACCACCAGGCCCACCGCCTCCGCAGCAGCAGGCGATGATCCCCCAGATGCCTAGTGCCAGGCAGGCCAACATGAGCAAAGAGCCCAGCACCGCACCGACGATCATGCCTACACGCTGGGAGTCTGTAGAGAGAAGTGGAAGCAATCAGGCTTCCCACAGCCTGGCACGTGCCAGGGCAATTGTCTGTGGGAAAGAACCCAGGGCCCCGGGAAGCCCGATGAGGAAGATGTGGGAAGGTGCAGGGGGGTAAGCCTGACAGCAGGGCAGAGGCCACAACCCCAGGTACCTGCAATCCAACCCTCCCAGCCAGGGGACTCTCAGGGCTGAGGTACCTACCTGAGACTTTCACTTCCACCACGCAGACGCTATAGCCCACATGGTTGGCCACTGTGCACTGATACAGCCCATCATCATCTGCATTGACATTTTTCAACACCAGGTCCCCATTGCCCATGCCTGAAATTGGAAGAGCATCAGGGGGGTAGTGAGACAGACAAGCCTGATCTCTGAGAGCTCCTACCTTGCCCAGCCCCTGTGGGATGGAGGATGAAATACCACTCAAAACAAGCAAACAAACAAAAAACAGAAAGGTGTATGCAAGCATTCACAAGTCCACTCCACTCTAAATACTCCTCTTGCTGAAACAGAAAGATGGGGAAGAAGGACCCCTCTCTCAGAAAGAAGACAGAGTCACCATTAATTCTCTGTGACCTCGGGGAAGTACATCCTGAGTCTGAGCACTGGTCCTTTCTATTATTCAGTTTCTCTAGTGCTAGGAGCCTCACATCCCGGTGAATGGTAATTACTAGGAAGTATTCCTTTTTTCCATCTGTTACAGAGGTGGTAGCCACTTGCCTGAGGTTTACCATCAATCAGCATCCTAGCCAAGATTCAAGCCCAGCCCTTCCTTGGACCGTGTTCTCCCCAAATTAACCATGCTGCTTTTGACTGACATTCCATTCATGCCTTCTCTCCTTCCCTCAATAGCGGCTTCTGAGATATGCCCAAATGAGCAGTCTCTCCGAGACTTGGTACCACTGACAAGTCAGGGAAGTCCCAGCAGGCCCCCTTTCCCAATCCTCTGCTTATGTCACTCTCTAGGCCCCCTCACCTTGATTGATGGAGCTGTGGAAAGATTCTTGATAAGAAAGTTCAGAATGGAAGCTGTGCTGCGAGTGGTAGGAGCCAGCTCGGTAGGGGTAACTGTGCCCACTGATCTTGGCCCACTTGTAGGACAGGGGCTGCGAGCCTCCATTGGCAAAGCACTTCAGTACCACATCGTTGCCCTTTGACATGTGGCCTTCGGTCCAGCACATGGGTACCGCAGGACGTGCTGTAACAAGGCAGGCAATTATAAACCCAGACCCAGCCAAAAGACAGAGGCAGGCTCACAATGGCCAACCCATTCTGAAGCCTAGGAAAGGGGAGCCCAGAATAATCTGGTCATACCTTGGACAGTGACAATGACCTTCCTGGTGGCCATGGTGGTCTTCTTTACCCGACACTCGTATGTTGCTGTGTCAGATACCTGCAGGTTCATGAGGTTGATGGAAGCATCGTACTGGCTGGGATCTGAGGCTGCAAAGCGGACCCTCTGCTGCAGATGAGGGAGGTTGCCATGGCCGATCCTCTTGTCTTGATAAGTAAGAAACTGTTAAGAAGAGAAAGAGAGATAAACTGAGTCAAGGAGGGTCTTGCAAGTTGATTGGGCAATTCACTGACCTTCTCTAAGACTCAATTGCTCACTGAAGAAATGGAAAGGATGGTGTCAGGCACACTGATCTCTTACAGAATGAGTGAAAGTTCATGATATTAGATATTCTGGAGAAATATAGGGTCAGACCAGGAACTTCTAAAGTCGGGGGGCATACTTAATCTCCCCCTTAATATGGGGTAGAGGGATGTGGAATCTGGCTGACTAGATTCCCGGTTGGACAGCTCTAATCCCTGTTGCCTCATTCCCTAAAAGATCCTGGAGGAAGTTCAAAACCTTGGTTTCCTCACTTGCTTTCTTCCTTCTCCCTCAGGATGTCGGCTTCCCATCGGGTTTTGACATCACAGAGTAGACAGAGTACAGAGAATCCTGGGCCAAGCACTTACCACATTCTCTCTATGTGAGGGTTCTGAGTTGACTTGCATCCACTCAATGTCCAGACCATTGGGACCATAGTCCTCAGGATCCAGGATGTAGGGGCAGCCTAGCCTCACATTATCACCTTCTGCCAGATACATGACCTCCTGGCCATCCCCGTTGATCCTTACAGCAGACAACAGTGCTGGTGAAGGGCGCAGTGGGTGGGGAGATGAAAACAGAAACAATTCTTGAGTAGTCAGTCTCTGCCACTTTGTGCCTGTCAGCCAGAACTCAGTGGGACTTCCAGGGGAGTGTGTGTGTGTGTATCTGTGTCTGTGTGTGTGTCCCTGGCTGTGTATCTCTGTGTGTGTATCTGTGTCTGTGTGTGTCCCTGACTATATATCTGTGTGTGTTTGTGTGTGTGTGTGTGTCCCTGTCTGTATATCTCTGTGTGTCTGTGTGTGTGTATGTTTGTGTATCTGTATGTGTATATGTGTGTGTTGGCATTAGCTATACTTAATATTGTTTGTTTATTCATATGGTAGTCTCTGGGCATCCTTGTGAACTTGTGTATATATTCTAGACTTGTGTAGATGTGCATTTGAATACTGTTTACATACATATAGCTCTTGTGTTATATTTATGTGTATACACAATGGTGCATTTGAATATATGAATATATATGCACAAATGTGCATTATATGTTTATTAGTCTTTGTAGCTACAAAGATATTCATGCACATAACCTTGTAGTATATCTACCTACGTATTTACATGATAGTGTAGGCAATTGTGTGTGTGCATATGTGAAACACCCAAAGTTGTTAAATGTTCTATTAGAAGAAACAGGTTGTTTAAAAGCCACCTGTATGGGCTGGGTTTGAGCCTTATCTGGGTCAAGTGAAGGGCTCCAGCCAGAGACAGGCAAGTGGACACAATGACTCCTGGGGTCCCTTTCCATCCTGAAGAGCATAAGACTAGGTATATCTGTGTGTGTTGGTATGTTTTATGTGCTCTGTGTGTGTTTGTGTGCGATGCATGATAAGGTATGCTGGCTACGTAAGTGTTCTAAGTGATAGCATATGCCTTGGGGAGCTGTAGCCTAGAGCCTGGCCGTGTTCATGTGCATGTCTTTGTCTATGGCAGCTTGTGTATGTAGAATAAGCCTTGTATGGCAAAGTGTGCCATTGTAGACTGTGTGTCCTCCTTGTGTGTTTGTGTGGCTCCAGTACAGCTGCTCCCACTTGCTCCCTTTGGGGCCCCTCCTGCCACTGAGTCAGAGTAGAAGCCCAGGGTTTGGAGCAGGATCAGGAAGCTTAGAAGTGAGCTCCTCCCCCCCCCCACCTCCCTACCCTGAAGCCTCAGGCAAACTCTAGCCCCAACCGGTTAGACCTAGAGAAGAATAAGGGGGGGAGTGAACCCAGGGCTCCACCCTAGACACTCAGCTCCCTCCTTCCCAGTCTGCAGCACTCCCTCTACAAGCCCCTCACCAAACTTCTCTATTGATGGCCAAGTTCTGAGTAAGTATGCTCTTTGGGTTCCATCCCCAAAACTCAGGAAGCCTCTCCCTACTCCCCCACTCTCTCTCTCTCTCTTTCTCTCTCTCACACACTCACACACACACACACACACACACACACACACACACACACACAGGTATACACTGTCCTGGGCTAAACAAATAGATACAGGTATGTTCTTTCAAGTCCTCAAATGTGAACATATGCCCATGCAGTCCTTACTTTCTTACACACAAGCTATTAGGTCTATACACAGACACACATCTACAGGCAGAGTAGACACCAATCTAAGACACACCCACTGCACGCTCTTGTGGCTTCCTGCGCGTCCATTCAAGACCAGGCATATCTGCAGAAGCCCTGAGTTCTGTGTGTAGCCTGTCTCTGGAGAAGCCAGCGAGGGCCTTACATTTCCCCCCAACGTCTCAAGCATCACCAGGCCTGCCCCTCCTAAACCATGGCCAGCCCACAAACATGTCCTAATCCAACAGACTCTGAGTTAGCCTCCAACAGGCAGTCTGGCTTGTGGGACTCTAACGGGACCTGGAGATGCCTCCTCCAGCCCTAGGCCAAGAAAATACCAGCTCATTCCTAAGATAAGGATCCTGATGCCATCTGCCAGATCCTCAGGCGGCAAGAGGCAAGCCAGGGATGAGCCAGAATTCAGCTCCACCCCGGGATGAGCCACTGGAAACAGATGACGACAGGGAAGATTCCCTTTACCTACACCGTGGAGGTCAGCCAGACTGAGGGTAAGTATTTAGAGAAAGGGGCTTGGGGGGATGGGACAAGCTGGAAAAGAATGCCGCCACCCCCACGCTAGATTGTCTTGCTCCAATTGTCCTCGGCCGTGGAGCCTCGCCCTAGCTCCTAAACCTCCTTAGATGCTTTCTCAGCCTCCTCCCAAGGGTTCCAGCCTTTTTGTATCTCCTCCCACCCCTTGGGAAGTTGTTCCTGGCATATCACCCCGGTTTGTGTTGTTGTGACAGTGGGGAAGGATTTCCAGGGAATGTAAGGGAAGAAGGCAGCTTGCGTGGAGAGATGAGCCTGTGCAAGTCGGTGTAGAAAGAGTCCTAGACAAGACTTGGGGAGAGACGGACACTGGAAAGTCAAGAGGCTGTCCAAGGAACTGGCGATTGTCCCTTATAAAATCACCAGGGCTGGCTACCTTCTCTGGGGGGAATGTCACCTCAGCAAGTGTCTGTTCTAAGCTAAGAAAACTATCCTAAATTTTCAAGCTGATTTCAGCCTGGAAAGGGAAGCGAGAATTTAAAAAGGCAGCTCAGAAAGTATCGGCACGCAACTCCACACAGAGAGCATCTAGCCCACATACCCTCACGCAGAGAGCACACACGGAGATGCCTCCAGCTCTCCTGGCACAGCCAGGGCTTCCTGAGTAGGCACTCCCTGAGAAGCCCTCAGCAGAGAAAGGGTGCAGCAGGCATTTAGCCAGAAATGCAGCCTTCACACATAGGCTCACACACGGGCACGCATACTCCCATACACAGAAACAGAATGAAGCAGTTCCCCTTCTCGGTCTCCTTCCTCATACCCTTCATCGTACATCTGGACCCCACAAGGGGCTCCATGCTATTTCCAGTTATTTTCGATACTTAATAGGATGTCCCTTGCTGAGACTTGCCCAGTCCCAGGCAGGCAGCCACAGTATCCAGACCTGAGCCCTGCCTTCCAGAGAGGTGTCCCAGAGAGGTGAAGGGGAGTTTACCATCCATCCTGTCCACATTCTCTCAACCTCATCCCAGAAGAGGCATCACCTGTGAACTCTCACGGCACACAAGGCACAGACCGGCGGCCCTAGGCCTGGGTTCTTACTGGCTACGATGAAAACAGCCCAGCAGCGTATGAAGTGCTTTTAAGGCTGACAGGTCTCCTGCCCAGTGCTCTGGCTGGGTGAGCTGGCCCTTCCACTGGGAAGAGAACACCGACTGTCTAAATGAAATGGATCATTGCCAGGCTCCTCCCCAACCCCCACCCTGAGCTGCTGCTCACCTGATTCATCCCCTGCCTGCAATTCCCACAACTAACTCCATATCTCCAAGCAAGCCCTATCTCCATCTCCCAGCGTGGAAACATCACAGAGGGCACCTGCACACATATACGAGCTACACAAGCTGTCAACGCCACCATGAAGATCTATTCCGAGGCCTCTGCACACAGACACGGTCCCAAGCCTTCAGGCACAGGCTGTCCTGAGGAGAAGCTCCCTTGGCAGTATCCAAATCAGTGTCAGCAAAGTGAAGGTAGACAGTTTCCACCAGTGCCTCGGAGGCCATCTTTGAGGCTCTTCCGTGAGCGCTCATTCATCCCTGACCTTCTGGCATAATGCTGAGCATCCCTGCCCCTGCCCAGTCCCATACCTGGGCTCAGGCACACGAGTAGTAGATGGAATGCTCCTCGAACTCCCATGTCTCTAGGCTTGATCTTTCCTCCGCCTGAGCTGGGTTCCAGTGGGCTGGTGGTGGTTGGTGGTGGGTGGATGGGGCAGGTGGAGGGAGGGGGGAGCGGAGGGCCCAGACACTGCCCGGGGTGGCAGGAAGGTGCAATGAGTGCCAGGCTAAGGAGCAGCCGGAGTTATTTCTATAGGAGGGAGGGGGCCTGGTCCCCGCCTAGGGGAGGAGCCCAAGTAGCCCTAATTAGCAGGGTGACAGGATGGCCTACCCAGGCATTACACAGCCCTCACCCAAGCTCTTCCCTGTCCCAAGAGTAGTGCACAGCGACCAGCAGGACTTGTAATTAGGCACCTGTTAAACCTCCACTTCCTCCTGGCCAGGTCCTCAGGGTGACAACAGTTGCCCCATTTTACAGCGTCCACGGAGCTCCCCTTACCACTCATTTGTTGCCTGCTTCCCTGGGGGGGGAAGTGGGAAAGAGGAAGGAGACGCAAGATTCGGAAGGAAAAGATGTCCAGGATTTGGAGAGTTACTACTGACCAAAGACACCCCAAAGTGGCTTGCACCCCCATTACAGAGTCAGATTTCCAGGTCCAAACCCCTTCAAGTATCCCTTGCTTTTAAGGGAGACCACTCCAGGTCAGGTCTAAAAGATAGTGTACCAGAGAAGGGATGCGTCTCCCTTGATGGGACCTGAATCTGAAGGGAGAGCCCAGGTGACAGGGAATACTGGAATGTAGCTTTTCTCTGTCCTTACAAAGAAAGTGGGACCTCCTGGGCTGAGGAGGGAAAGAAAGGGTGTGTGTAAGAAAAGGATCTTCCTTTGCTACTACTTTTCCATCCTTGCTGACACAAAGGTCATCCCCAAGTTCCAGGACCCCAGAGAGCAGGGGTTGCTAAGATAGGTCTAGATTCCTACCTCCACAAAAATCTAAATCAGTTCACCAAGGCTTGGAGAAGAAGGAAGGAGGGGTCAGGGCATTTGGGGGGAGTGAGGGACTGTGAAAGACAAGGGGATGTTTGAGGTGGGCAGGGCAAGAGGTCATGTGAGTGTGTTTATCTCTCACAGATATGAAGGTAGAAGAGCTGAGCCCCACTGTGTGCTTTCTTCAGGGATTTCTTGGACTCTCAGCCAGATTTTGATGGTTTAATGCAGGCTCATGCTAGCAGGGGTCATAATCCCCTAAGAACAAAGACCCTCAAAGTCAAGCCTGACCAGTGGGCAACTACAGTCATCAGGGTGACCAATCCGTCACAGTTCTAGGTAGTTAGGTTGAAGCTGGAGTGGGAGAGAGTCTTAGTCAGCAGAAGGGGGCAGGCCAGCCACTGTTGGTTGATCCATGGATTCAGAACAGTTCCTTAACCTTCCCTGGATTCCAGGACTGTCCAACAGGAGGCAAGTCATGAAAAGCCTCGTTCTATAGGTTGGCTCCCTCAAGGGATCCCAGAGCCTTCTCCACAACTGACCTGGGGCTCAGGAAGGGCAGAGGGGGAAGAGTCTTCAGGAGAGTTATGGGGCTCAGGAATGCTGCCAGGGCCCACCTCCTTGGAAGAATAGAACAGAACAATAAGGAAGCACAGGAGTCCACGCGGCTCTGTGTCCCAAATCCTTTTACCCAAACTGCCAACAATAACAGGTTGCTCGAGGGCCCAACAGATGTACACGGTGGCTATCCTCATTTCCTTAACTATTTTTGGATTTATGGGATTGTCCTGAGCCTTCTGGAAAACAGGGGTCATTGTCCCCATTCTACAGGTAGGGACACAGAAGCCCAGAGAAGTAAAGATTCAGTTCAGCTACAGCTATGTTAAGTAGGGGATAGACAGGCATCCTGACTCTCAGCCCGGAGTGGTCCAAAAGAGGGCTTGTTAGCCATATGGACTGCTGCACATCAGAGGAAGAGCAGGAAGCCAGTGGTGAGTGGAGGGGAAAGCAGGAAGGGCCAGGATTAGAGAGAGACCAAATGGAAAGGAATAGAGCTGTGGTTCCACTCCACTGAGGTATGGGGATTCATTTGCGCTCTGGGTTTGAGTTAATGTGCCATGATGGCTGCCCCTGGGGTTACAGTTGGGGTTATTTGAAATTATGGGTGAGGTTGAGGCCAGATTTGAGGTTGGGATTAAAGTTAAGGCCAGTGTTAAGGTCAGAATTACAGCTAGAAGTACAGCTTGGCGTTAAGGCTGGGCTTTGTGTTACGATAAGAATCCATTTTTTGGTGTCCTTTGTAGATATGCTTAGGGATACAGGTTGAGGTAAATCAAAGGCTGGGTTGAAATTGATTTAAGATTTGTTACAAATGAGTTTGAATTAATTTTGGGATTTAAGTCAAAAGATAGTGCAGCCGTGCTTAAAACATGGGTGAAAATATATATGATCAAGAGGGTTCAAGGTAATCAAAAATGAGATTTTTATGGTATCGAAAGATACCAGTGGCCTCTTGCTGAATCCCAGCTTGACTCAGCTCTGGAAACATACTAGTGGTACATACTGGTATACCCCATGTCTGAGGGAGGGACTCAAAAGTGCATGAGCCATATGAAAGGGGATGAAGCAACTTAATCCCACAACAAATGTAACCTCTGAAGTCCTGCTCTACCACCTGCTCACAGCCTAAGGAAGCTTCCAGATGCAGGAAGCTATGAGTAACCAGTGGAGTTCTGTCACCAAAAGATGAGGCCCATCAGAGGAATTTACTGGGGAAGGGACTGTGGAATCTCAAAGAGGCTGAAGTTGAGGGGTTGAGAAGGAATAAGGACCTAGTAATCCATGCTTCTAGAAAAATACTTTTGAGGGGATCACAGAGGATTTCTCGAAGCTAGAAAAAGCAGAGCATCAACTTTGGTCCTCCTTGACCTACTGAAGCCTAATTGTCACCTGCTTGCAATTTGGAGCCTATAAACAAAGCTGTAGATCTTCCTGCCCTATGCCACAGGGGTTTGGGGGTGGGGTAGTGAAGTAAGGAAATCAGGCATATAGGTCCAGCCTAGTGTTTCCACCTTCTGAGACTGGACCTCACCTTCTGCAAAGGAGGAGGGTGCCGCTCCTGAGAGCCACCCTACTCTAACTCTTCCCTTGCCTTGCCCTCACCATCTGTCTCCACCCTTAACTAACTGTTTTCACCCCACACACACACTTCCTTTTCAAATCTCATAAAGGTCCAGGCTGATCTCAGAAAATCTTGGTCTTCTGTGCCAGGAGAGAGTAGCAACCGCACTCGCTTCTCTTTTTGGACAGAAATGAAAAGTCAAAGATGAAAACCTAACAGAGACAGTGAGGAATGAAGGAGGCCAGACAAGGATTCAGAGAAGCCAGAGCCAGCTTCTGACATGGGGTGCAAGCCAACCCAGGTTCCTTTAGAATTCCGCACAAACCCCTCGCTCTTCTCTTCCTGCCTGACTTGCCCCAGCTTCTCCCCCAGGCTTGAGTACAGGCTCAAGACCCCAGCTGACTCAGGACTACAACCTAACCCCCTTCTAGACCTTCCTCTCTCATAGCCCCTGAACCCCTCTTCCATGCCTCCATGTAGACCTAGCACTCATCCCAGAACATCTAGGGAAGAATTACCCAGCAGAGAAAGTCTCTGAGGAGGTTGGGAGCAGGAGTTAGGAACTATCACAGAGAGCTGTATCATGTAGGTCTCAAAGCAAGATGGTTACAGAGAAGCTGGATTCTGGATACCAAGGGGCTACAGCAGCTACTGACTTCCCACCAGATTTCAGTGAAGATAACAGGATGAAGGACTACCGGGTGAGGCCAAGGGCAGGAGTTCAGAGACTTCAGGTGGTATGAGGGGATCACTGTAAGTTCTGACAAGGAGGGTTAGAGTCAGGTGTGAGATCAGATCAGTGAGAGCACTTAAGATTGAAGATATGGGGGTGGGGCTGGGGGTTGAAATTTACATCAGGTCTTCAAGCAATAGCTTGAAACACAGATGGCCCAAGGATTATCTGGGCCCATGCCCCAGCTCCTGAGACTCTGTGTTTTCACTGGCTCACCTCAGAAAGAGGGGGACTGCAAGAGGGAGCCTGGGTATACCCAAATCTTTCCCATCAAGCAGTATCTTTCGACTGGTTGTGGTCCACACAGCCTTGACTTCTGAAGGAGTGGCCTGACCTACTCCTTTCAGCAGGCCCAGGGTGGTTGACTGAACATCATCAGTTGAAATTGTCAGAGGGACAAGCAAAGTTGAGAGGGCGTCCCTCCTAAAGAGTGTGTGGAATCCTGATGACAGAGCTGAGGAAGAGCTGAGAAGCCTTGAAGATGAAGGTGTCCTCACCTCACAGACTTCAGCTACATCTCCATTCCTCAGACCTTCATCACTTCCGTAACTACTGAACTGCATGCAGAATGAGTGTGTGGTGTTGTTGGTGGGGAAACAAAGAAGACTCAGCTCCTCTTCTACAGCCTCCCCACTGAGAGACATGGACAAGTGAAGGGACCCTTAGCCCTTGATGTGATAAACAGTGCTAATAATATTCATAGGGTCCTGTTTGGTAGAAATGATGTTTAGGCAGAGATCTAAAACACTATTGATGATGTGCCCATAGAGAGAACTAAAGAACCCCAGAGGTGACCAGAGTTATGTCTCAGTGCTTGGGAAGTATGCCAGGGTCCTGCCAGACACGATTCAAAAGAATGAAACCAGGAGGGACAGCTGCTGATTATTCTTCGACAGAGGAGATAAGATCCTTGGGAACTACACCTCTTGGAAACTTCTACTCAAACACTAAGAGTCATTCACGGAGATCATAGCCAGGTCCTCGGGACAGCGTCTACAGCTCAGGCAGATTGGCCTGGACCATGTGCCCCTGTGTGTGAAGACAGATTTTGTGATGAATTAATCCATATATGCCCATTGGGACTTCGACTTTTGGACTTGTGGGAATGAAATTTTCTTTTGCATTAATACCTGGACTTTCCAATCATGTATCTCAAAGGGAAGCTGTGGTTGCCTCAACCCCCAGGGTGGTCCCAGGCCTGTCCTGCTCTGAACAACTGCCCAGAGAGGTAGGAGGTGGAGGGAGGCATCAGAAGAAAGCTAGTATCCGGTTCATAGCTTTCCCCACTAAGCCTGACCAGGCAGGTCCTCACTCTGCCTTCCTTGTTTGTTTCCTGTTGCCTGGATACCAGGATAAAGGACTGAGTGAGAGGTGGGGC